CTCGATAAACATGGTTAAGAAAAAACATAAGATTTTAAAAAAAATCAATACATTTAAATTTGAAAAGTTGTACACAATATTTCCTAAATAATTCGATAAAGTGACTTTAAATATCAAAGATGACCTGCTTTTATTACAAAAAATTGTAGACACAATTTTGAATATAAATCTCGTCCAAATATCAGTTTTATTTTAAAATAAAAATGACGCGTGGTTTTATCCAATTTACACAATTTTCTTGAAAGAAAAGTTAATCAATAAGATTGGACGAATTGGTTAAGAATTGTACAATTATTTGTTTCCTAAATTTGTATCCATTTTGCACGTTTTTTTTACTTACTTGGTGTTTCGAATTATTTTCGTAAATTATCGACACATTTTTTTGCATAAGAATATCTAAAATTGTTACAAAAAAGATATGAATTAAATTTTGGTAAAATAGAAAATATGATAGAAAAATATGTTCAAATTTTGTCATTAGAATCTCTAAATTTATTACAAAAAATAAAAAAATAAAAAAATAGGATTCAGATTTTGTTACCAAAGATTCACATATGTTTCTTCAATTTTTCCATTAATAGTAAGTCAAACATTATATTTATTTGATCAAACTTTCTATTAATGTATTTTTTCAACAACCTCTTTATATATATAAATATAAATATAGATAACTGAAACAAAGTATGATTACAAAGGGACACTACACAACTCAACAAATCAACTCTCTTCTGAAACGATAGGGGTCTTATATCAATAACCGAAACAAAGTATGATTACAAAGGAACACTACACAACTCAACAAACCAACTCGAGAATTGAGAGGACACGCCTACGGCGGCCTAGAAACACTATAAACCACTCACAGGTTGGAAGATTAAAACCGAGACCTTAGTCTGCCAAACACCAACCAAAATCCCCTAAGAGCCATGAACCTAATGATCAACACAACTAAAAACAAGAAAAAATAAAAACACAGAAACAATAAACCAACATTCCTGAAACACCAACAACTAGAAAAAACATAGTAAACCAAAAGCTCGGGAAATAGAAAAGAAAAAACGCCCTGCTAAGGCACCAACAACTATAAAACCCGAGCTCCCGAGAATTCCTTCCATTCATGAAGTGCACCCTTAATGTTCAGATGTTCAGGCATCTTCTCCTGTTGAAAAAGTCATATATTGCGAGTCTTCCATAACCACCACAAAAGATATGTGGTCAACTGAATCCTATCTTCAGCAATAGCAGTGTTCTATACTGAACAAATGTGATCCCACCAATCCTTGAAAGGGTATTCATCTGTTTTGCTCCTATATCACTGCACAGGTCCCAAATCCCATACCATCTTTGGTCTTGGGCATTGAAAAAACACATGTT